GATAGATCAAAATATAGATCGAAATACTAAACCAAATATTATATATTAAAATTAGGCGTGTAACTATACAGCTATGTATGTAATTATGTTAAATGTGTATGTACGTTATTATTGGCACAGGAATGCACAATTTATGAAAAGTTAGTTTATATTTTTGCTAAATTTTGATTGAATATATTCTTTAAATCTTTGTTGCGAATTATACAAAACACAAGTGTATATTTTGCTTATATATGCATAAAAGAATCAATTAATAGTATGTTAATATAAATTTATCTTATCTTACATGCATAATCGGTAAATGAGGCCTAAACAAAAGAGAAAATGGTGGATATCAACTAATCACGTTGAAAGCCGACCAATCATATCATGAGAAACCGGTTGTGTCTCTCTATGTATATAGGACCTTATCATTACCTAACCTCACTTGTAAATTTCATTATAGTTTTTCTTTTACTTTGCTTGCGTTATATACAGTATTGTGTCATTCTTTACTATTACTTGTGGTACTTATATACATGTATTATTAGTTAGAAATTAAACAATTCTGTAATAAAACATTGAATATCCAAAACATTTAGCTCTTTTTTTTTGTGTATTTAACGTGCCGTCATGTGACATTTAGTTGGTTTTTTGACACTAAAATTGATTTACCTCTTATGCGCAGACTATAAATTTGTTCGCGTCGCATGCCCCAACATACTCCAACATGCTCCTACTCGCTCCATTATTACGCTCCAATCTGTAGTATTACGTTACATCTATCTCTTTCTTATGAAGCCGACACAAAAACGACGTTGTTCGCTTTTTGATACGTGCAACGTTAAATATTTAAAAATAAAAAATTGTAATCAGCTGAGATATCATCAATATATTGATCCGTCGAAAAAATCAATAATTAAATAAAGTGACATATTAATAATGGATATTAATATTCATATTAATTTTTGATATTAATTGGTACCTCTTATGCCTGTATCAGACTACACATTAAAGATTGAGTTTGAAGATTGAAATTTGACCAATCAGGACAAAGAACTTTTAGCTTCTTTTGTCTCGATTGGTCAAATTTCAATCTTAATCAACCTTGGGTCGATCAAAATATAATCGAACGTATAATCGAATCGCATATACATGGTTTGCGCATGTGTGCAGTACTCCTCCATTCATGCTGCTTGCTGCTCGCATTTCAAATCTGGCTCACATTGTGGTTATCATCCTTTGCGAAACTGCACGAAGATGTTTGCTGTTTTCAGATTTAGACACGCGTTTAAATTAGGAAGATCTCTCACGAGATCATTAAATAAAAATCTGCAGGAGGAATTAGTTCAAGCACAATGTCGCCAACTATCTGGTTTGTTATTTTTTTTATTATGTTCAAATATTTCAAGTTATGCTTATAGGTTATGCCGCTATTATACTTTAACATATAATTATGATTTTCCTTTCAATTTGTTGCTTAAAACTTTTTAAATATATTCTAGCAATGCCAAATTTTTCATTTTTTATTTTACAGTTATATGTCAACATGTGAGATATTTGTCATCTCAGCCAGAAGTTCAAACCACAGAGTACCATAATATAATAAAAGATACAGAAAAGGCTATAGGTAATATTTAATGATAATTATAGTAACATCTATTTAAATTAATTTTTTTATAAATTGACATGACAATATAACAAATATTTATTACATTACAGGTGAAAAAGCCAAGCATGAATTTCAATCGGAGACACAAATGTTGTTACAAATTGTAGCAAAGTCTTTATATTCAGATAAAGAGGTAATAAAGTATTAATTTTTTAAAAAGAAAAGAATATCTGCTATAGTAGTTTTATCGATTAATTTGCTTATCAGGTGTTTGTGCGAGAGCTTATTTCAAATGCCAGTGATGCATTGGAAAAATTAAGATACTTACGTTTAAGCGATAATGAAGCGGCACAAGCAGCAGGCGATAGAAGCTTGGAGATACATATTGGCACTGATAAGCAGAATCGTACTCTCATGATCCAAGATACCGGTGTGGGAATGACTAGAGAGGAATTGATATCCAATTTGGGAACCATAGCTCGATCCGGTTCTAAGGCAAATAAAACAAAATTTATAGATTTTTATTTTTTTTCCACTTTGCAAAATATAAAAACTGTTCCAGATTTGAAAATAAAAATTATAATGTATTTATTTTATAGACATTTCTGAAAAAATTGAAGGAAGAACAAAACACCAATGATACTTCCAAAATTATCGGACAATTTGGTGTTGGCTTCTACAGTGTCTTCATGGTTGCTGATAAAGTAGAAGTATTTACGAAATCTTTTGCAAAAGATGCAGAAGATCTCTGCTGGACTTCAGATGGGTATGTAATAAAAAAATATATTTTGTAGATGTTAACAATATTACATGATAACAAAATATTTGTATCCAGATCAGGTACGTTTGAAATTTCAAATGCGGATGGAGTGCAGCCAGGCACAAAAATTGTTATTCATCTTAAATCAGATAGCCGAGAATTCAGCGATGAGAATACTATTAATCGTACGTAATTAAATTAATAATAAGAAAATATATTTACGCTATTTTTACACGCAATCAATAAAATGTGATTAATTCACTTAGGTATTATTAACAAGTACAGTAATTTTGTCGGCAGCCCTATTTTTGTAAATGGGCAGAGAGCTAATGTCATTCAGGTATTATTATCGATAACTTTTTTTTGTCTGTTTTCTCTCTGGTGTTATATCTATGTCTGTTGAACAAGCAACTTTCTTTACAGCCGTTATGGATGAGCGATCCAAAAGATGTCACATCGCTGCAACACGCGGAATTTTATCGATTTATTGGAAATTGCATTGACGCACCAAGATTTATACTGCATTATTCGACAGATGTGCCGTTGAGTATTAAGGCTCTGTTGTATTTCCCAGAAGACAAACCCGGATTCTTTGATCTGTCGAGAGACACTACCAGTGGGATCTCGCTTTATAGCCGAAAAATTTTAATTAAAAGCAAAGCAGAAAATATCTTACCAAAATGGTTACGTTTCGTTAAAGGCGTAGTCGATTCGGAAGACATACCGCTGAATTTAAGCCGCGAACTGCTGCAAAATAGTACATTAATTGGGTAAGAATGAATGTTTGCAACTTTTATCGCTTATTATTAAATACAACCTGAACTAAACACCTGTAATCTTTGTAGGAAACTGCGAACCGTGTTGACGGCGCGCATATTAAAATTCTTAAATGAGCGATCCACGAAGCAGCCAGAAGAGTACCATGAATTTTACAAAGCATATGGCATGTACTTAAAAGAGGGCATTGTCACTAGTGGCGATCAGTCTGAAAAGGTGATAATTTTATTGTTATCGATCGATTCTACATAGATGGTCATAAAATACATTCTGTCAATTCCATTTTTCCATTTTAGGAAGATATAGGCAAACTCTTGCGGTTTGAATCTTCTGCCACAACTCCAGGGGAATTTGTCAGCCTGCCGCAATATTGCAGTCGCTTAGCAAAAGACCAAAAGGACATATATTATTTAGCAGCGCCGAGGTATAGCAAGATATGAATAACACGTACTAGCATGGACGAATGATTTGCAAAATTTATATTCATGTTACAGCCGAACTCTGGCCGAGCAGTCACCATATTACGAGTCTCTGAAGAAACGAAATATCGAAGTTCTCTTTTGCTACGAACCGTATGATGAGTTAGTGTTGATGCATTTGAAACAATATAAATCTAACTTCTTAACGTCTGTGGAGAAAGAAATGCGAGATGACAGTGAAGCAAATAAGCCAGAAAATTTAGGTACATCACAAGCGCTTCATATTTGTTAAATTATCTAAAAGGTTGGTAATGTTATTTTATATCTTCCATAGGTATTATAAATAAAGACGAACTAGATAATCTAATAAGCTATATCAGAACGATCCTTGACAAGAAGGCTTATGATGTCAAGATGACAAATCGTTTGGAATCATATCCCTGTGTCGTGACCGTGCAAGACATGGCGAGTGCTAGACATTTTATTCGCATGCAAAGTCACGAAATGAACGAAGAAATGCGGTATTCCATGCTTCAACCGCGCTTCGAGATCAATCCAAATCATCCTATCATCAAAAAGTTGTGTAAATTGACGACTACAAATGCAGAATTAGCTGATCGCGTAATACAGCAGGTATGTTAAACATGAATAATATTGTAGCGCCCTTTACACCTATATTTTTCTCCAGTAAACCTATCCGTATTTTTTATATTGTAGCTATTCGCTGGTGCCATGGTTGGGGCTGGTTTAATTGAAGATCCGCGAATATTATTGACACCAATGAATGAATTACTTACGTTAGCGCTAGAAAAGTATTAATAATTGGATTTAATATAAAGGAAAACATTACGTTTTGTTATTTAATAATAATAATTATACAATTGTAAATAAAGATTTCTCTTGTAAACAGGACTTATATTTTTATTCCAATAAATTGATCTCGTATAATTTTTGCAAAATTACAAAATAATATATGATAATGTAATATGTTATTATATAAATATCACCTACACTTATTTGTACAAAATATAAATTACTTCTATATCAATTATATAACAATATGATTTACTTACTTTGTTAAAAAAATACAAACTTACATTTTATCTATAAACATACCTTCATCATATAAAGATTATAATTATGGATTTTCTCTCAAATATATTTTATTCCTATAAAATTATACTTTCTTGCGTGTCCTGCTTTTGGCATTCTGTTCTGGCGCATAAAATGTAATACACTGAAATAAAAATCCCAAAATATGTATATTTATTTGAATAAGTTGCACAAGTTTAAAGAAAGAAAAAAATTGCAACGAAAATGCACCTGCTCGTCTAAGAAACTCATGAGATTGGAAAGCTTGCATTTAAATCCGTGTGTTCGTAACGTGGAATGCAACGTTTCGATATTTACAGGCTCGTATCGCAATATTTTGTTATGTAAATGTTTATCAGCCACAATCAATTTTGTAAAGGCTTCTGCGATGTCTGATGAATTCTCCAAAGCCGGCAATGACTCAGTTTCGTAAAATTGCATTTCTTTGCTGGTCGCATCTTTTACAGAATTCATACTATCATTGCTGTAACAAGATTTTAATTTTTTTTATCTATATAAAAAAATATATCTTAGAAATACTCAATATTTATGTTAAATTCACCTATCCTGAGAGCAAAGCAATTCATCATCATTATCGTTCGATTTCTCTAAACTATTATCCATATTTCTTTTCTTCGGCGGTGGACCCTCATCTTCGTCACTTAAAATTTCAGCGGCTTTCTTTTGCTCTATCGTGGCCTCAGATATAGATACTAAAGGATGAAGTTCGTTATAAATGTGTGTTAACAGTTTCACAGCTCTGCTACGCTTTTGTGCTTTTAATCCATATTTCTTCATTTCTTTCTAAAAATTAAAGAATATACTTATTTAAAAAGAAAACATTTTCGATTGTAATGATTTATCATTATCAGTGAACTTACGTGTAATTCAGGAGTTTTCATACCATGATAATCAGGCGGAGGTGTAACATCCTTTTCAATTATCTTGGGCGCAGTTTTTGAACTTCCAATGTTTTCATTATATTTGCATTGCAATCGCATGGATATGTGTTCAGACGTACTTTGTTGATTACGTAATCTATTTATATTAATTTGTCCTTCGGACAAAGATTTTTCTTAAACGTTCTAATACTCGTCGAATTTTGTGTCAAAGCCATGCGATCTAAATTTTCTGGTGTGACATCATCCGACATTGTATTCGTATGTTTGATATTTTCGCGATTATTTTTATTACTATATCTGCGTGAGCTATTTTTCCTAAATTTCGTTATACTTAACTGACTAGCTGACTGACTTTTTTCTAAAAGATGATGTTTTTCGTATCTGTCAACATTAACGTTGGCAAGGTATATATCGTCTTCAAAATTAAGAGAAAATTCGGCTGTATTTCTCGATTTGCGACTATCTGTTTCTGTATTTTTATGTTCAGGAAGTAAGCTTTCCATTTTTAAGAAATCTGGACTAGAGGATATCATAATTGGGCTTGGAATGAATTCTGCGTTCTGATCATCGTTCGATTCATTTAATTTGGACTTTTGTGTCAAGACTGCACTAAAATCCATATCATCAGATGTCATTTTTGCATTGCTAGTATTAAATTCATCTCGATTTGACTTGGTTGTATCATTAACATTTATTTCTTCTTCCAAATCTGTCGTTATCGCTTTTGGAATCTCAAATTCGAGAGATTTATTTCTTTCATTTTCTATATTCTGCTTGCTACTTTCTCTATCGCTTCCGGTTTGAAATATATTATCCTCACGATCAGAGTCATCCTTTTGGAGAGCAACGGGGCAGCTAACATTGGAAGACACACTTTCGATCTCTGTATCTGATGAAACGATTACATCTACGTCCTTTTGTGTCAAAGTGGATTGAGCGACAACTTCGTTATTCTTAGATTCATTAATGTCACTGTTTTTAGTAATTGAATGAGATGATACATTTTTATTAGATAGATTACCATCTGATTTATTTCTTCTAATTGCTGTGCGATACTTCGCTATACTATTGTCCTTATGATTTCTCATGTATTTCGAATACATGGAAATATCTTCTTCATCCGTTTCATAGTCAAAGACGGTTTCGCTAGGCGACTGATTCGTTGTTTTAATTTGCGACGACGAAGGTGTAATTGTGACTTGTTTCGAGATGTCCTTATCAGCCGGTGAAATGCAGTTTTGTGTATAATTGGATACATTACTCTGAAAAGATTTCATTGTCTTTTCTGGTGATGTAGAAGCTACATGCGAAGTAATGCGTTTAATAGTTTCTACACATTCATTGGAAAGATGAGAATAAAATTCTGGATTTTTCTCAGCATATGATTGCATACGCTGCTCTATTATGCTTAATTTACCGTGTTTTTGCTTCCTGTCAGAAATTTTGTCATTATCGTCACAGGATTGAGAATTTTTCAAGTCGGCATGTCTGTCCACGCGAAATGGATTTTTATGCATTGTAAAAGACATTTCTACAGGATATTCTGTATCGGAATCTAAATCCGATTTCGCATTTTCCTGTTGTATTTTCTCGATAAATAATGTGAGATCACTTTTCTGTTTGATTAAGGAGCAATCTTGGCTAAATTTCGGCTTACTACTTTGAGGAGTATCGATTAAAGAGTTTTCATGCGCATCTTCAATAAATGATTTTAGAGAATTTACCTCGGAATCTGAGTCGATTTCTATTACACTTTGTTCCACATTTTCCAAGCAGGTAGACATTTCTTTACAGGACTCGGAGTATTCAGCTCTCTGAGTTAATGATCTCTGACTACAAATATCAGTATCAGCATCTTGTTTAATTAAACTCAATAACACGTGAATATTGGAATCTTCGTGATCTTCAGAATGCATCGCAGATTCACTGTTTTTAATAATTGCGTTGCGTTTCGTCACTGGCGTGTCATCGAACAAGTCAGGGGATGTACAATTTGTAGGTGTGTCACTTCTGGGATTTATTTTTTCTGATAACTTCATCAAATCTATTTTTTCATCTTGCAGAACGCAGGAATCCTTTGCAGATATACAACTGTCTTCCAGAGAATGTGAAGTATCATTAACGTCCTTCTGCATTTTTTGCGAACACTGAATGTTTTCTAGATCATTACAAATATGATTTGACGATGTATTAAAAGTAGACTTCTCCAATTTCGAAACATTCGAACCCTTTCGCACATTTGCGTGTAAATTTTCTGTACTTTTCTCACAAGTGGTGTATTTCACTTGTGCTGTGGTAGAATTCAATTCTAATTGACGCAAATAAACAAATAAATCATTTACCTTGTACTTCCTTGCCAGAAATCTAACACCAGACAATGTGTCGGAATTAAGTATTTCCAAATGCCTATCGATTAATCCGCAATAGATAAATTCTAGAAAGGCCAAAGCAGCATCGTAATCTACATCAGTCCAACAAATCTTTTCTTTTGCAGTAGAATATTCTGTATCATTGGACGTCACATCCAGTAAAATATCCGTGCAACGTACGTAAAAAACCAATTTATGCGCCCAAATGTGTCTGCTGTTTCTCACGAATATGATAATATCACTTGCAGAACTGTCGTTTAGTATATTTTTCCAACTTGTTGCGAGAATATCGAGAAATTTCTTCTCTTTGCAACATGTCTTGCTTGAATTTGAAGAGATAATTAACTTTTCATTGTTATCTGCTGCTTGTATTTCTTGCATTTGTTTATTATCCAAAGAGATTTCATTGTTTATACTTTGATCTTCAAGTTTTACATCAATCTGCTCTTCCTAAAGCATATCATTATTTATATATTTTATACGTATTATATATTTTTTAAATAATTTCTTGACAGAATAGCAATTTACCTTTAATTTCTGTTCTTTCTTTTCTAATGGTGTTATCTGAGGTAACAGTTGTTTTACATAAAATACATTTTGAGTTGAAGTTAGTTTCGTTCTATCCCACAATGTATTCTCCTTGAAAATAATGACAGATTTTAAAGAGATGTAGATATCTGGATTAAAAAATAATTTCAATTAAAGAAAAAAAAGCAGATGTAATTACAGCTCGATGTAGTTGCTGAAGTAATTGATTCTTTATAACAATTTTTTCTTTGATGTTAAGCTGTTTCTCCACTTCCTGTGGGTTTTGAGTAAAATCTTTATAGCCCATAAGTATTTCAGCTATTCTCTCTGTTAAAATACGTTCTCTTTCCACAGCTGTACGATTCTGCAGAGTAGTTGGTTCTAGTAGTTTTCCTTTTTAAACAAAAAATAAATGGAAATAAGATGATTTTTTAAAAGATTGATTAATTGCGCGATTCAATATATATATGTACTTCTCTTAGTTTTATTAGTAGATCTTGCTGGTTCAACATTTCTGTTGCTAGTGAATCCAAAATTTTGCAACGTTGTTTTGTAAGCATTTTCTAGGTTGTTATCTGGCAATGGTGAACTAGACGACATAGCGATGATTTGGACTTCATCCCATTCTTCCATTTCTTTTTCATATAGAGATTTAGAGAGCGCTAAAGCAAGCTGCAGATCGGGATCATTATGTGACGCCTGGAAATCACATATATTTAAAATCACTGCTCTAAAAACTTTTGCATTACTGTTTTGTTATTAAATACTTACCATTTTACGTGGTGCGGGTTTCTTTTTATCTTGCAACACAGGAGCAGAGAGTAAACCCAATGATTTTCTTTCTGCAGCTTGCCGTTCTTGTAGCTCCATAGCATCCATTAGTTTCTTTGTCGTAACATTATTTTTTGCAGCACAACTTTTCGCGTGCACAGCTTGCGAATTTTCATCCTTAAAATTTTTGAAACACAACGGACATACGTAAGCTGTTTTTACATCAGTTAAACTCTGTGGTGAGTCTGCTTCTTTCTTTTCAGATTTAAAGAAAGATGATTCAATTGATGGCTGTTGTTTGTTACGTAATATCTTGCTACTCTGTAATGATTTACTGCTTCCTGATCTTTTTTCATTATTAGTAACTTTGGTTTTGGAACAAAGTACTTTCGTTTTGGATCTATCTGGAAATCTACTACTATTAATAACTTTTGGTTGTATAGAATGTTTTTTTATTGGTGATTTAAAATCCATTATACTGTCATCGTCACATTTGGATGTAGAGGCTACATCATTCTTTCCATTTTCATTATTGGAATCAACAGAAAGACAAACCGTATCATCTGTACTAAATAAAAAAACACATTTTTTACCTTAAAACATTTCATACGTTGTAAAAATCAAACACATAAAATAGGAGACACAAGTTTAATAGGAAAAAAATGCAATAAAAACATTGACAATTGTCTATTTTTTTTCTTATATTCTTTAAAGATACATGTCATAATAAAACAAACTACAGATTTAAGGAACTTGACTTAATATATTTTATACATGTGCTGCATGTAGTAGTACCTTTCTTTATAATCCTTCCTCAATCTTAATCTTCTCTCTGAACTACCAGGCTTGTACAAACTATGCTTCTCGTCATTCATTATTTCTATACAAACTTTTACTCTTGCTTAAGCGTTATCTAAAGTTTCAGTCTTCTTCAAGTCTGCCTCTTTCAACTTAGCTTCTTGTCTCTCAGTGTACTTCTCAATAACATTTCTCAATAATGGATTTGTAGCATAATCTTCTACCATTTCAGAATTGTCTTGAGATATTTCGTCAAGTTTATATCTTTCGTCATTTAAGTATGGAAGAACACTATAAGTACAGAATAACATTTAGTTCAACTTATACTGAAAATAGAGAAGATTCACATTTATCAAAACATCATATTGAAACAGATTAAATACAAATACATAATGCAAATTATAGATAAATGTCTGAATGTAAAATACCTACTTCCTTCTGTAGCCAATGTACATTGCTCCAGCATAAATAAGTGTTGTCGCGAGTGACATAAGGCGAACATATTTTAACAGCGGTGTATTTCTAAGCTGACGTGGTTTACGGTGTGTCTCATCCGTAGGATCACGCTTCATTTCATACAAATTTAACGAGAAAAAAAAAATCTTAACGCTAACGCGGAGAGAACACGAGCGAAAAATCAGCGGACATTGTACTGATTGCAGCGCCACTCTATTGTGAACGCAGAACTACGTAGTCACATCCATACTTCTCAAGATGGTAAAACATTATTTGGTTCGTGTCGATGCAACATCCGCAATTCACGAATCAGACCCGTGTGTATCCTATAAATATATGAATCTAATATTAATATTAATTTTGTGCTACAAGCATTAAAAATCGTTTTTTATTCCCTTAAAATCAAGTACTTCTCTAAGAATTTAATATTAAATATTTGTAATAAAATAAAAAATAGATTTTAAATTCATAAAAGAGTATCTTTTGCTATCAAAATTGAGTTAAATTAGTTATAAAAAATTATAATCGGATCTTTAAAAGAACGTTCTACATTTTTGTAGAAAGGAGGGAAGGAGAGCGTAGAGCTCCTCAATGGTCGGTTTTTTTGGCTTTTTTATTTTATATATTCACAAACGTTACAACTGTCGACTACGCGTACAAGACTCGCAATCCACACGACATATCGTTATCATATCATGCATACATTATCACTCACCTGTGGACACGATAGCCCCCTAGGTACTGATTACAAATTATGCTCTCTTTCTATCCCAAAATTTTCTAAGCCGACACTCGTTCTCAATTTATTGTGTATACGTGTGTGTATGTATGTGTGTGTGTATGTTTATATGAGCGTACGTGTATATCTATATATTTTTTTCGTATTTACATAGTTGACGCGTAATTGCATCTATATCTTACGGAACCGCGTAGATTGATCGGGAATATTTTATCGAATTCTCATCATCATCGAGAGACAATGCGCTCTATCAATCTACGCGGTTCCGTGTTAGAATTTAAAAAAATATGCAGCATTATCTTCAACGAAAGGCTTGAACTTGATTGTTTATCCCTATCATCGGTCTCATCTCGCTTTTCGACCGGCCTCGATCTACTTAGCAGATGCTATGGATTCTCTCTAGCGATCTATAAACGTATCCTAAATTCGCGGCGCTTCTCTTCCTCGTCGTTTGTGCATCGTCCGGAGGTGTATGAATGATGATGCGATCTTTCGTCGCATCACGCGGAAGTATGTTCTTCTCGAAGGCACTATTGTACATAAACGAAAACCCGCTTCGATAACGAGCTTTTGAATTTATTATCTGCCGGGTTTGTCGCAAGCTGGTGTTGTGTCTGTTAAATATTTGCGAAGCGTTCTAGGCACGGCCAGATGAGATCTCCGAAGTTCTCAGATCAATAAATTCGCCAATCGATTAATCGGTCGATTCTCACTGGCACAGGTCATCAAAATTTGGCATCGTTCAGTCGTTAATCATTTTGGCTTAGAAGACAGAAGCTTCTAACAATCGATTGAAGCAATTAGATTTTGGATGAAACAATTTCGCACGTGACGTGATCTATTAACACTTTACCCGCCGGAAGCCTAATAATAGGCTTTGTAGGCGGCGCAGATCGGTAGATAAAGTGTTAATATAACGACTTGTAGGATTAATGACCAAATACAAAATGGAAGGAAAGGGATTAATAAAATAATAAATATAAATTATAGCAGCACTGAGTGAGTAATGGAAAAAAAAATGTTATTAATGATATATTAACATACCATGATAACAGATTACATAACATAAATAATATTATCAAAATCGAATAACGATTAATCGACTGATCAATGCCGAGAGCAAAACACATGAATTTTTCTAATAAATTTTGCACACACTCGCAAATTCTCATTGTCGAAGACGCCTTTCGATAGATCATACATTCTCTTGTAACGTTTAAAGAGGGATCCTACTAACAAATTTCGCTTTTCCTAAATAAATACTTGAACAACAATCTAACTTTTTTAACATATTTATAATGATGATATAATGGAAATACAAACATCGTTTAAAGAATAAAAAATACATACATACATACATACATATATATGTATGTATCCATATTCACATATATATATTAGGTTGTCTCAAAAGTTCTTTTCGTTTTTTTACTAAAAATTAAATGTTTAACCCCCCGTTTTATCCCTTTAAAATCTGGGGTAGAATTCTGTGCTCTAAAAAGTAGATGATATCTCACAAAAATTCATAAATGATAAGGTTTGGCCAAGTTCCAAAAAAGACACTCCAATATGTTTATATTTTAATAATTATCTAAATTTTTAATATATTATCAACATGAAAAGTAACTGATTACTATGATTACTATTAATATTACCTTTATTACTATTAATATTACCTTCTGATTACTATTTATTCCTTTCTTTAAAAAATTCTCTTTGTGATAAAAACTTTCACTCTTTGAATGACATAAAAAATCACCTCGATCAATATTTTACCAGTAAATCAAAGACATGTTGGAAAAATGGCATCATGAAGCTTCCGGAGAAATGGAGAAAGGTGGTAGAGCAGAATGGCTCGTATATACTTCAATAAATTGTGTCGTTCATAAAAGATTAAGTATTTGAGTTTTAGTAAAAAAACGAAAAGAACTTTTGAGACAACCTAATATATATCAGACCAAATAAACATGCATAATATTACAAGTAGAATCTAAATGCATTGTTCTAAATCGAATTATTGAAATACATATATATACAAAAATAATTTAGGAAGATAATGTAGATCTAAAATAAAGAATAAAATAGAAAAAGAGATAATTGAGCAAATTTATAAATCGAAAATATTAATACGGTCCCTCTTTAAAATATACCAATATCTTCATATTGGTTCCTGAACATAATAATCTCTCGCGATCTAGTAATCTTTATATGAAAGTTTTTTTATACATATTCTTAAAATTAAAGTTACTAATCAATAACCCCATCCCTTTTTTAGCGTAAGCCTTAAGTGTAAAATTAAGCTTTATTAGCAGTATATAAGTAACAATGTAAGAATATTCATTATATATTTATATATATAT